ACTAACATTCATACATTCTTTTACACAATAGTTCTATTATTTATCTTTTACCTTGAACGTGTATTATTTGAGGTATTCAAATAGTGAGTCAGTTGTATTCTTTGTAAATAGCAGGTGGCGTTACGACATTTGGCCAAAACTTTCTTATGCTAATGAACTCAGATCACTTCTATTAGTTATTAGTTCTCTGACGTTTAAACGAATTATCGCGCCGTTGTTATGCTAGTAATGTTTGGCCTGTTGTGTAATCCTTCGCCTAAATAGAACGAATTGAATATGTAAGATAAATTTCTATTTTTTGTCGCTGTATACAGATTTACTAAGTGTGAATTATCTTATATAATATTCACGTATATCGCAAAAACTATTAAACGCGCGTCACTGGTGAAACGCAATAACTCAGTTTGACTATTGTTATTAAGATTATTATTATTATTAGATTTTGTTTTCTATGAAGCAATATAAATATTAAAACCATCTTTGGGGTGCTTTAATATTTACATTGCTTCATAGAATATCTATCTATGTATCATATCTATCTTCTATTAATAACATAAGTATCGGCTGCGAGTCAATGTGAACAAGTACTATTTCTTATTGAAGGCGTGATTGAAATGTAAAAGTTTTAGTAATGGCTTTTGTTTTAAAATGGATCTTGATAGTTTTTGCGTTACTGCTCGATTTCCTGAGATCGATTGGAAAGGCTAATTACGTTTTTACTCGCTAATTAGATCGTCAAGGCAGTTATTCGACTGAACCTTCCTATACTTTTTCATTGTTTCAGTCTACTTTATATCGGAATATACCGTTAAGAATATTTATTTAGTTAACAAGCTAATGGCAAAAATATGCGACCATATTGTACGCGCTATTATAAAAAACCATGTTGCGTAGCGTATCTTACCGCGAATTAATATGCGTGTATTTTTATTATTTAATATAAAGCTATTATGTTTCAGATGCTATTATAAATGTAAGTGTGCAATCGCTCCTACAAGCAGCAGCTACAGTTTTATTGTTGTTATAGTACAGTTTTAAAAATATCTCATAAATGTAATTTCGTCATCGCGATACGAACATAAAACGAAGTTTAATTTTCTAGACATACACTTATAAGCAAGAATAAAAAGCAAATTTTAGAATAACATACATAACCATGCGCTAGCTTTGGTCCTACCACAGATGATTGATAAAATTGGAATTTACCATAGACACCTTTCTAGCACCAACTTGCTAATAGCTACCTAAACCGAAGTATATAAAAATGTCCTTTTTTTTTACTTTGGTTCAGCAACCCATTTTTTGGCTTTGTAGGTAAGTTATAACTTTTAATTTTACATGTGAGTAGATCCACAAAAAACATTTTAATGATTTAAATACATACACAATTATGTTAATTATGTATGTATTTAAATTTATATTAATTTCTGTTTTAGCGGTCTGAAGATATATTCTTAGAAGCTTAGACTGTTCGAAATATGAATACAAAAAAATTATATGCTTTATGAATAATCTACATTTATAATCTACTTTTTCACTACAATATGTTGATATATGTTAATGCAATGAAAAAAACCTGACGAATTATCATACCAACTTAATTAAAATAAATCATAATTATTATGCATAACTTTATAATAAATAACACATAATATTTTTTTAAGTAGAGGCGCTTTTTGCTAATTTTACAGTAAATAATACAGATATATTTTTGGTATACCAGGAATAAGCTTACCTTAAACAATTGCAAAAAAGATTTAATAGATAAAACTACATTAAACGATGATTAAAGATATATTATACTAGTTGGCCCGAAATTTTTTTGCTATATAATGATACAGCACGGTACTAACATCGCTATTAAAAATGGGTGTTGGTGTTTGAAAGATACTTAAAGATTATATACTTTTAACGCCAAACCATAAACATAGAATGTTAACATTTTGTCCAAATAAATAAAAATAGTTTCTTAGGATGGGCTAATCTCTTAGGGATGTAAAAAGCCTTTTCGAGGAATTTAGTTAGAATTGACATGAGAATTTATCTATATTGATTAGTGTGGGTCGTGGGTCCGAAACCCGGCTCTGCACTGATGAATGTGCACTGAGCATAATCACTCTCGTTAAAGCCACAGCCAGCATCGGAATACTGGGCGTTGACATATCGAGCGACATATCGTTCTGTTTCACGGTCATTTGGAGGGAATTTCTAAATTAGCCTCCAAGCTTGCTGTGCTCACAAGGCAAGACGTTACTTCTCTCCGGGCCATCGCTTGCAACTTAATAAAGCGTAAATTAGGCCCCATATGAAGTACTGTTCTCATCTCTGGGCGGGAGCTTCCCAGTACCAGCTTCCACTTGATCGTATTAAAAAAAGAGCGGTTTGAATCGTCGACGATCAGTCACTTTCCGAACGGCTTGATCCCTTGGCATTGCGTAAAGATTTGGGTATCTCTGCATCTTCTACCGCATTTACCATGGAGAGAGTTCAGAGGAGTTGTTCAGATTCATACCTGCAGGTGAGTTACATCTTTGGACGGCCAGGCAGAATACGATATTTTACCCGTATCACCCCCGTACATCCGTCGTTCCACAACTGAGCGTTATTTAAGGAAGTTTTCCCGTTCCCTCTATGTGGAGCCAGCTACCCACTTAAGTATTTCCGAACCAATTCGACTTAGGTACCTGAAGAGAATAGCGTACCAATTCCTAAAAGTATGGCAAAGCACACGCGAGCCTTCTGGCATTGAGAGTATCATCACGTAACATCAGGTGATACTCCGGCCCGTGTGCCCCATATTATATAAAAAAATCAACCATTACTCGTACGGTCATGTAAAACATTGTGGGAAAATAATGTGAAACAAAAGACCCAAGACGAAACTTTGTATAAATTCTGCTTAGATAACAATGCTTTAGGTTCATTAATTAATTTATCAATTTATCCAAATAACTGAAAAATTATACCAAACCCGTTAAATGTTAATAAGACAGCCTCGAAGGTTTAAGTTCTAGTCTACCTTGATAAATCCTCCAATTTTTCCAGAGCAGAAATTAATTAATGAGAAAATTTTTAATTAAATCGAATTGTCGATAATGGAATTAAGTTATCGCGTGAATAAAGAAACAATCATGTCAAGAATATATTCTCTAGATCTTGGAAAATGGAATATTAATTATTGGAATGTTTTTATGTACATTGATATATGTATTTTTTTATATTTCTAACACATGATTTTGTGTTTTTGATGTGTGTGATTAATACACAAATAACCCGAGTGCCGAAGAAAATATACAGTCAACCAGGCACAAAAGTGATTTACGTAACACAAAAAACAGACATTAAAAATAGCAACTAGTATTTATTATATAATAGCTTTTTTTTAAGTACGGTATTCTAAGTTTTTATACATAAAATACAACTGGTATTCATTTGTTCGAGTTCTTTTGTTACATACTAATAAGTGTCATAACAAAATATCGTAAATAAATTGAAAAATTAAATAAGCATAATTTTGGGATACTACTCCCTAGATACATTTTACGTAGATATATACGTGGGCATTTTAAAGAAGCTTTATAGTTTAGCTCCGGCTTCCTACGTTAACATTTAAAGTCGAGACTCAGTGTACCATAACGTTTGTCTATTTAGTCATTGGTATAATATTTGTTTATGGATCTACTCTCATGTATGATGTACAAATTATGTATATAACTTACTTAAACGCAAAGCCCAAAAAAGTATTCACATTTTTTGGTGATGCTAGAAAGCTTTGGTAAATTCACATTTTTATTAGCTAATGGCACCCGTATGTCAGAATCCTTTACATTTTTGACGGGAGTTCTTCAGAGGGCATAGGGTAAGAATGAATATAAATTTTACCCTTAGTTGATTAAATTTTATAGAAATAATTTATGATTTTAGAATGTATTTTTTTTATTTAAAGTTCAATAACACATAATTAGCCTGATGTAAATAGCTTTCCTAACTGCTTGTTTATTTAACGGACTTGACGAGAAGTTCAATGTTTGACTAACATTGAAACATACTTTTTTTCATGTTTGTGCGCAAGGAAGACTGGTCATAAACACACATAAACCATCACGATGTTCTATGGAATGTGTTTATCCCAAGTTGAGTCTTAAACATGTAGTCTTCCAAAACAAAAATATATATATATAATACTAGCTGACCGGGCAAACGTCGTTTTGCCATGTATATCATTTATAATAAAAAAATTGGGGTTGATCGTAGAGGGGTGAAAGTTAGGGGTTGTATGTATTTTTAATGAAAAACAGAAAAAATATATCTAAAAATAAAAAAAAATTTAGGGGGGGACTACCCTTAACATTTATGGGGATGAAAAATAGATGTTGTCCGATTCTCAGACATACCCAATATGCACACAAAATTTCATGGGAATCGGTCGAGCCGTTTCGGAGAAGTTTAACCACAAACACCGCGACACGAGAATTTTATATGTAATTAGATATACAAATCTCTACAGTGGAAAAAAATAAAGTATAGACATAAAAAGTGTCTTAAATTACTTAAAAATATACAGTTACACTAATTTCAATTTGTCTTACGACAAACAGGTGTTGATAACGTTGGAAAATCCCATATTATTTGTTCCTAACGGAATCTTCTGAATTTAACAGTTTTATAATTAAAATATAAATGTTACCCTCGATATTGTAACTAGACTTAGTAACTAGACACTTTATGTTAAATTGTAACCAAAAATACAGCTACAAATTGTTCCTATACTAAATACAAAAAAGAGTTTGATTTAGTTATATGATTATTTGCATTTAATTGATTTTAATATATATAAAGTTTAAAGTTTTATTACGGTTGAGTTTAAAGTTTATTGCATACTTTATTTCGCTAATTCCATTTAACTTTTTAAGGTAACTGACACAGCGCTTGCAACCACTTTGGACATAGGTGTTATTTTTAATCGCCGGTATTATGTACAGAAACAAATTGTTACTTACTAGGATATAATGAGGTGCCATGACATGATAAGCACTCCTTCTGGGCACCTTCCAAATTAATGGTTAGTGTTGGCGCTGGGCTCGGGCTAGGACACACTTTGCATCCACCATTGAATTTCTCGCACAAACACACATCCCGCTCCAAATTCTCAACTTTTAACTCATTCAAGCCAAATTTCGTACTCTTGTCCAAACTGAGAGAATGGTCTGTATAACAAGAGTTAGGGCAAACATTGCATTTAGATTCGTTAGGACTTAGTTGTAAGAAAACATTGTCCTTCCGTTCCATGCTTCCTGAGAGATAGGATGTGAGCGTCACTTCGGAAGAGGAACGTACGTTGTTGTTTAACTTGTACTTGGTCATTTTCGAAATCTAAAATACCGTTTTGAAAGCGGAAGCCCGGGTCATTTTATGGCTTGAATTTCGAATTGTGTTACGATAGTTACTCGCGTCGCGTCGCGTCACTCCAAACGGCTAGCGGTGTCGGCTGCGCGCGGACGAATGAAAATTATTGCGAGCAAATAAAACGTGCCTCTGCTTTGTCGCAAATAGTGTGAAATAATGTCATTGTTCGTTAAGTGAATAGGTGAAGGGTGCACGCTGTTTATTGAAAATAAACTGGTTCGACAAGAGGGGAAGTTTATTTCATTATTATGGCATAATGAAAATAGGTCAAGATATATTGAGTTGAATAAAGTTTTATGGAAGTTTAAAATAAAAATGTAAAAAGAGACGCCCGAACAGGGACTTGAACCCTGGACCCTTGGATTAAAAGTCCAATGCTCTACCGACTGAGCTATCCGGGCCGATATGAAGGATGTTGAAAATAGATAATGTAACATACTTTGTGGAAAAACTAGTAGGATTTTTTATTGATGATAATAATTATCAGAAACAGATTACCATTATGTGAGTATTGCTTTTAAAACTTGAATGATATTCGTTCTGTTTTCTAAGTAAGTAAGTAAGTGTATTACCCACCCACTTAATATTAATATTCTATTATTTCTATGCACAATACTATTTTCTTAACATTATATTTAAATTACTAGCTATCGTACGTCTCGGTCTGTGAATACAATGAAGGAATTTACGATAAAAAACTAGTCCTAAACTCAGATGGAAATAAAATGGCATTTTATTTTATTGCATTTCCAGTAATAATTACTTGTTGTTATAGAAAGTTATAAAAATTATATTAAATTATTTTAAAGTTTAAAAGTTATACTAGAACTGTTGATAACCTAAATGTAACCTCTATTGGGTGACGGAATATTTACGCAACATTGGAGCTTATTTCATGATTTCAAAACGGAACGCTTTCAAAATACTATACATACAGAAATATACTCAATAGAATTTATAATTAATTCGAACATGATTCAAAAACAATGTTTACAATATATAATTAAAAATTGTTTAAATAATATTGGTCTTTGAGTAAGTAAGCATACAAACCATAAAAAAAACTAGCTCACCTCAGTAAACGCAGTTGCATAAAACATTGTCATGTAATCGACAATAGTCCGAAGTTCCTAGGTTTAGGCTATGTTCAGATGGCAAAAACTTGACGCGCGTTTTCAAATCGCGCGACTAGAGATTATGGTATTTTTCATACAACTGTTCACATGTACGCGCGTTAACGCGCGTTAACGCGCGTCAACGCGGCGCTCAGAGAAAAAGTCTCTAGACGCAGGTGATCGCGCGTTGACGCGCGCTTTGATATTCATGTAATGTCCGTTTGCTGTTCAGATGAGCGCGCGCTTTCATCGCGATCGCATGTAATTTTATTAATTTTCGTAATTATATTTTGTTCTCGCTTTTAAAATGAGTGAAATTGAAGATATTGACATCGACTTACTAATCGATGAAGTAGAAAAAAGGTCAGCAAGTTGGAATATAGCAAATTTGTATAAAAAATATAATATAAATTGTATTTTTTTTTCAAAATTGGATAAACCCAATGTGTACGTTTTCTTTTTCTATATTTTTCTTTATAATATAACCACAAAATAATAGCCTCTTCCACGTCCATTTTCTACGTTCTACCGAACTAGACTGACGAGTACTCTCGCAACGCGCGTTAGCGCTCATCATCTGAACGCTCTTCAAATTTGATCGCGCGTTGACGCGCGTTAACGCGCGTTACATGTGAACATAGCCTTAAGCGCACTTTGTAGTTTTAAAACGGAAGCCGCGAGGTCGCAAATCACAATGTTTCCGTGTTTCCCGCCAAATCTATTGTGACAGTTGAACGAACGATGACATTTGCATCTGAAAAAAGATGAATATAAAAAATCGATCTATTAAAAAAACTGACAATGATAAGACTGAAATAAAAGAAATACTGTCAGCAAATCAACTATCGATAAGAATATAAATTATTACAATTGTTATTATTTAATAACATTTATGTAGGATATTATCTTTTATTTAGGATTTAAGTTTGCACCTTTGGCATATTATATTGTCTAATGTGCCTATGAATTGCAGAAAATAGTACTGATACTACACTGATATTAAAGCTATTTCTAATTATTTAAAACTTTTCAGTGCCGACAAGAATGAAATAAATATTCGAAATATGTATAAATTACATTAATATTGATTATTATAGCCTCTATTTATATAATTGAAATTATTGCCATCTAGCGGAAGTCTATTAAACTATTATTAGTATCACATGACGTGAATCTAGGTCTATTGTAGGACATATATTTTTACATAACTGCCACCTAGCGGAAAATTAACTCACTATACTAAGAAACCGTAAGTCATGCACTGACTATTTAGTTTTTTTCACGTTAAATAGATGTCACTATTAAAATTTGATTATTTTGTAAAATTAATAATAAAGTTATAAAGAAAGAAAATTCCATTTTACAATATTTTTTATTATTACTAGTGCGTTATGAGTCTAAATTATTAAAATTTACACATTTCTTGGTTGGGTTTATTTGATACATTTAAATGGACTTAGTACTTTGTGCGAAAATGCCCAATGCGATTATCATTATATTTCGAGGCATATTTTAATTCTTATACATGTTTTCCGTTGCAATTGAAATCTTTACATAACTTGTCCTTAGTGTGACGTCACAAGTCCTTACTTTGTAACGTGACAGTTTTACTAATATCAATTTGTATCACAAGATGTCTCTAGTTCACCTTGTTTGTTCACCTTCACTTGAAAATTAAAACGTCTTGTCTAAGATCTAAATCACGCTTTGTAATAGATGTCCTAGGACTGGGTCAGATGCGGCAACATTAAAAACAAAATAAAGAAATAACATTCAAATCGTACGCAATATCAACCGGTTGGTAGAAAAACAAGTACATAATTATATTATGCTGTATTTTAATTTTGCCTTTGCTACTAAAAATGTGTCCTACGCAACGCAAGCAGTAAATATTTGAAATGTTTGTCTTCGCTAGTAGGTATATATTTCAATTTAAAATCTGAAATTAGCATATTTTAATAACGTTGTAACACTTAAATATTTTTTAATAAACAAAGATCTAATTTTCAGAAGCATACAAAGTTTGCATGATTTAGTCGCTTTATAGACGTTTAAAGGTCAAACAACGATTAAAAAGTGAGTTTTACACAAGCAATCGTAAATACATATTATAAAAAACGAAGACGAATGGACTTTGATTTAAGATAATTTTTTATTATTGCGTTCATATTTCTTGCAGGATCATATGGCCCGTATCAGTGGACCAAAATGACGCTAAATATATTGACAAATTGTTACTTAAGTAACTTAGAAGTTTTTCGGTAAAGCCTTATTGTAGAATGAATATGTATATGATATTTATTGACCTAAATTCTCAGTTTCGTGACTATTATAATTAATCAAACATGTCATCGATTTTAATTGGTTCTAACCGATGATAGTGGTCATCAAAAACCAGTGATGATGAACACCTCCAAATATGTTGTTTATTAATTAACGAGTATCTACTAATTTACTTTTGGGCAAACAAATAAATGATTGAATTGTGTATTGCTTGTATTTATGCAAAAAAAAATAAAGTTCTCTTTACCAGATTTCGCTTCCTTTTGAAATAAAAAGTAATATCTGGGAATTATTGATATCTCTTTGAAAAATTTTGTGCTTGACAGAAGATTTTTGTAAAATATTTTTAAGTGTTTTTACGTTTTTTACATAACAATTTAATTTGTTTTTAAATTGAAACTTTACCAGACTTACTTTTTTTCTTATTTAGGGATACGCGAAAAGATATTATTTCCATGGGGTCTTTTCGGACCTCCATTTCAGGAAGTATACCTTGAAACAACCTAAACAATTGACAATACATTTCAGGTGTTATTTTGTACCATGAATATCCCGCAAATAGTACAACGGTTTACTTACAACATTCAATATAATCGTTCAAAATGAGTATTGGTATTAACCATATTTTTACAATAAGGAGCACTCGGTCGTTCCCAGTTTCGGTATTCACGTCACGTGATCAGTACGTTCGGCTACTTCTACCTAATTAGTTTATGCTACGAAATAGCAAGTCAGTTCAACTGTCGGCTTTTACAGAACATTAAAAAAGCTGTATGTAGTTGTATAAAGAACCATGGCATCGTACTGATTTATATACCAATGCCGCAAAAATGCTTTTTTTGCAATCTTATAATAGGATTCTTACTACTGTAAAAATAGAATTTGATATTTGCCTTCTTCTATTAAGGTAAGCTAGATATAAGCATAAAAGGGACAGCAAATAAAATTAAAATGTTTGGACGTGTAATGCATAATTAAATAGAGATATCAGAAATTATTCATTTTACATTATTATAAATTACGGTGTAAAATTTCTTACTTCTATAATATTCAAAAACACTCTAAAACATTCTCGATAAGGTCATGTAGCCATGTAGCTCCGTGCTCGTCATCCTAATAGCGTGTTTATGATGCGCAGGAGTTGAACGGGGGCCCTGACAGCTGACCCTGGTCGATATCTCGGGGTAAGACTCACCTTGAACAAACAATGCTCTGTAAATGACAATACGAATTTTTATGACTAACTATTTAGTAATTGTGGCGAAACATCTTTGATTTTCTGTAATTGGGTATTTTCAAATAGCAGAATTGCCCTGACATTACCGTCTACCGATACTGACACAATGTTTGCTACAGAGCTGTTAAAAATAAAAACATAATTAAATAAACCTTTTTTCTGAAAGACCACGGATTTGCTACGATCCTGACATTCCTCTTTCGCTTCATTCACTTTAAGCACATTCACCATGCTCGTCGGTTATGGGAACTTTTAACATGTCCCTTCCTCACCTCTTGGATATGGATTTCATTAATATATAAATAAATTGTTATACGTTAAAT